GAAATTCTGATTTGTTTGTGGCGTTTCAGAATGAGAAGCGGAAGTCATGATATGGCACATTATGGATCAGGCCTTCAAGAAGAAAGCTCTGATACCATAATAGAGATGAATCTGAAAGTAAGAAATGATGAGAGAGAGAAGAGAGAATCCATTGATGTGAAGAAGAGAATTTGATTATGATTCATCCATATAAGAGTAAAATGCAGAACTCTATTCTAGAGTTAAAATGATGACTCAGCAATGAGTCACTGCAAGTAATAAACTCTAACTAAATGAGAAAATGAATCAGGTGTTGTACACACACCAAACAAATTGATACAATAGCATTTATATTTATATGCTAATACCATTTCTTCAAATCTCCATTTTTTTCTTTTGAAAGCTTAATTAAACCTTGAAGCTTTATCATATTTTCTTTTTCTTTTTCCTTCAAAGTTGTGGAAGGTGCTCTAAGTAGAAAGGGGTGCAACCTACACCTCAAGATTTGATTTTTCTACTTCTTGAGGTAAATCCATTGTCTTAGGCTTTGGAAAATCTATATTTTTGCATAGATTTGTTTAGGGTAGGTGTATTCTAGATCTTTGAGCATAAATTTAGGGTTTTTATCAAACTCCCTATTTTTCATTGTTATTTTACTCTTAAATAATTTCTAAATCATTGTTAAAATATTTGTGATGTCAGATTTGGCTAAAACATAGCTCAGTTGCTTACTCAGAGTCATTGGGAGTACTTTAGTTGGTTCCTCAGTGTTGTGAGTGGATGATGATTATGATTTCATATTTTATTTTTGTTATTATCCTTTAAATTTTATTTTATTATTATGGTTTAATAAGAAATGCATGAGGAAACAAATATTTTAAAATGTGATTCGTAAATTTTGTGCATTTTGAAAATTAACTGATAAGGATCTTTTATATAATGCATTATATTTACGATTTTAGACAATTGAAATAATTTTATAAATTTTGGATATAAATTTTATTATGAAATATTTAATTTAAAATGTCAAAATTTTAGCATTTGTATTTATCATTGGAAATGAATTTATCTGAATTAAAGGTTGCTTTGTTGAAATATTCTTATAAATTTTTTGGGATCCATGTTAGAATCTCGTAGCCGTTAGTGGGGGTAACGGTCTAGGTGCACCTAGTTATATATAAATATTTATTTCTGGGAGGAGATGGCTATCCGTTAGATGGAGCCGCCCCAAGAGAGAGAGACCACCTCTTGGAGGAGAGGGCTATCAGCAAGATGAAGCTGCCCCCGATGAATTGATTTGAGAAAGGAAAGGGTTGTCCGTTAGATGGAGTCACCCCTAAGGGGAAGGCCACCCTTAGGAGGAGAGAACTATCAGCGAGGAGGAGCCGCCATTGCTTGATTCTGTCATGTGTGATCCTCATTATATTAAACTTATGATTTTATGATTCTTTGTAAATGTTCATTACACCATTTAAATTTTTTTTGATTTCTTATTCACATATCTACGTTGTTGATTTTGTTTACCTTCATTATTCGAATACATTTATGGCTAAGTTGTTAAAAGGATAAAACACTCGTGCTTATCTTGTTTCCCCTTCCTGTCATTGTAATTGTTATGTCCTCATTGAGTCTGTGTGACTCACCCTTATCTTTATTTTACCATCTAGATCACCAGGCAGCTGAGTAGCAGGCTGCTAGGAGTTGTAGATCTTTCCGTAGCATATTTTTGTAGCTCTCTTTTTGGATAGGATGTAATTCCTTTGTTTATTTCAGAACTCTGAGCATTATGCAACTATGAGAGTCTGTCAGCTACATCTTTTAAATTATATTTAGACTATAATGTCTGGGTTATGTATTTTGTTATTATTGTTGTTGCTGGTAATATATACATTGTGTATCAGGTGTCTGAAATTTTTGGAAATGTTAGAAATACAAAGGAAACTTTGTCAAAATTTCAAAAACAAATTTGAAATATGAATCTGTTAAAAAATTTCTCTCATTTTATGGGTTGTTTGAGTAACTTAGGCTTGCCAGGCTAAAGGGGTTTTACCTTAGTCTGTGCATCGGTCATGGCTCAGATTCGGGCCGTGACAAAAATTCCTGGGTCCTTTAAGAAAAACAAAAGAATCTCCGGTTACAAGTCTCCATGAGTACCATGATAAAGAGCAAATGCTTCGGAAGAAAGTAAAATTAGACTAGACTGGAAATCTTTTGCTAGTATGCCAAATTTTTTTACATGTTTCTAACTTAACCAAATGTCTCGATCAATCTTGTATCTTACCATTTCATTTTTCATGCTATCAGGAGTCAAGTAACATTTCTCTGTCACATCCGCAAGACACTCAAGCTAGTGAAAAAATGCAGAAAGCGTGGCAGATTCTGGGGGACTTAGTCTCAAATGAATTGTCTCTTTCGTTACACCTTGGATGTTCTGCATTGACGAAAGATACTCTAGAGTACGTTCTCAGTTTGCCACCATAAGAAGGAATTTCTCGGGTAGAAATCTATGATGCACCGACACTTCAAAATATCTGACGTGTCGTGTCTGACACTTTTCGATACTCCATCACGCATTGCAGAGACTCAAAAAAAGGTTTGAAGGTTGCGTTATGTTGCATTTTTAGTTCCAACTATTAGATTCGTTAGATTACGATTACGATTACCATTATATTGAGTTTAACATAAATATATGAGATATCTTATATTTATTTGCAAAATTGATGGATATTATTAGTTTAGCTTCACTTTTTGGTTAAATTATTGAATATTAAATATATTAAACACTACATAAATTAAAAATATCATGTAATATCAAAATGTGAAAATCTAGCATTTTTTAGAATTAACGTGTCAAAATATTGTGTCGTGACGTATCTTGTGTCCCGTGTCGGTGAGAGAAAGTGAAAAAGAATGTTGAAGCTAATGTTATAGACTTGGACGAAGTGGAGACGTTGGAAAAATATTTCAAAAATCAGTTGGGTTGTTCGCAGTAAAGGAATGGAGAACTAGAAGAGCAAATCAAAGACATAAAAGCTGAGATTGCAAATTTGACACAAGAGACAGACACTATATATTGTTACCAATGGAAGATTACCGAAAGTTGAAAGTGATGATTTGATGAACCTAGTGACAAGGCTGAAAGTTGAGTTGGACTGGGCAATGATAATGCAAGCTAATATTGAAGCAGATTGGTTCAACTTTGGAGAATATTTCATTGGGATGATTCAGCGTGGAAACATACAAGCTAATGAAGCTGATTGGTTGAAAGATAAAAGCTATTGGACCAGTACCTAATTCCCACTTATTTTTCTTCTCTATATTTACTGTTCTTTCACATGTTAAGTTAAATTTGAATTGATTATGATTTCAAATGAAGTTATATAACATTCCCTTTCCCTTTGTTTAGTTAGAGTTACTAATGCTGACGATAAAGAGGACATAGTCTCCTTTAAGGTTTAAATAGTTTTGGGGGGGGTTTGCATTTGTTATTTAACATGACACAACAAATTTTTTTGCACACACAATATTTTGTGGGGCCCACACTTTTTGAAGAAAAAAAAAACTACGACACGCAAAACGAATCTCTATAACATTACACAATCACTTTTCCTACAACATAACTTTTATAAAACCCATAGTTTTGACATTTGATCATAGGTCTAGTTTGATAGATAACCCAACGAACCGGATTTGAACTAATCCATAACGTATTTACTGGGTTGTCAAGTTAATTATTTCAACTCAATCTAACCTAAAGTTTTTCTTGAAAATAAATATGTACTTTTAAATTTCCAAATATAGGTATATACCTATATTATATATCTCTTAAAATATTTTTTTATTTGATTAATCCATCTCGTGATTATGGTCCTCTGGAATTGAGGAGGTGTTTGGTAGAGAAATTTTTTTATTTTACTCGAAAATCATGATTTCTAAGAATATGATGAAAAATGAACTTTCCAAAAATGTTATCAAAAAATTGTTTGGTATGTCAAAATATTACCGGAAATTTTGGGTTAATTTTCTTGATGCTATGTTTGGTTATGTTAAATTTTTACTTGCAATGAAAATCCTAGAATACCACCCCTGAGTGGTATTTTTGGATTGTATTTTTAGAAAATTTTACACATAAAATAAAATTTCAGAAAAATCAGATTCCCGAATTGTTTTTAAAAATCTCATACCAAATGTGGGTAAATAAAATTACCATCCTCAGTTATTCAAAAATCCTAAAAAAATAAATTACCACCCTCAGTTTTTCCGAAATCCTAAAAAAGAATCTTCCATCTTGTGGTATGGAACTATTGAGTTGTATTGACCAAGTCTATTTTTTATTTTCTCTTAGTTTGATTATTATTTCTTTCAATGTTTGTAACAATTATATTTATGACTTGAGATTATTATTATTATGATTGGATGATTAATCATTATATATACTAAGGGAATAAACATCATTGGAAAGTTTGATGATCTGTCACTTCCTCCTTCAATTTCACCAATGTGTTCACATTTGAGAAAATTTGAAAACTTTCTTTTTTTGGAATTTTTTTTAATCGAAAATTAATATTAAATCAAAAATTAATATTAATTAGTGGAAAAAAAAGGGATCCTTATCTTTGTGGGGTCAAGCTGAATTAAAGTTCCACTACTTTATGTATGTGTAATTGTTATGTGCATTTAATGTTTAAATGTAAATTTAAATGATAGTACGTTGTACGATACAAGAAGTTCAGAGACTTTTCAAGTCTATTTTGGAAGGTGTGAATATATATCATATGTGTTGCTTGGTTCTTTCCTTTGGTCATCGCCTTTTGTGATTCTTCCGCTCCTCATCGTGTTCTTATGTGTTATTTGTTGCATCTTCATCTTCTCAACCTTTTTTGGTGTCAGATATGTACTCCAGGTATGATTTCATTAAGGATCTTAATCCGTCGAAAGAGGAGTGAAGGATTAAGGTGAGGGTGGTTAGGACTTGGAAGGTTCCTAATTTTCAGCATAAATATTTTGACGACAATCTGGACATGGTTCTATTAGATGAGAAGGTAATACTTTGCGTTCTGTTAGTTTCTTTTTCCTTTTTTCGTTTTTTTTTCGTTTCGTTCTCTTTTTTTTTTTACGGCCTTGATGTGAATGTATCTAATGTATTCGTTTTGTAGGGTGGAAGGATACATGCTACTGTCAAAGGATCTCTGAATGTCCGTAAAAATTTTTGTGAAGGGGATGTCTATTTTATAAGCAATTGTGGAGTTGGGTTGAATAATGATAATTTCAAGCCAACTAAACATGATTATCGTCTGTCTTTCAACTTGAGGACCGATGTTAAATCGACTGTGTATGCTACTATTCCTACTAATGGATTTAGTTTTGTTGATTTTGACGTTATAGAGAGAGAATCAGCTGACTCTTCTTATTTAGTGGGCAATGTTTTTGTCTCTGAGTTTATTGGCATATTTTATGTGTTGATGTCGTTGATAAATGTTCAACTTCTTTTTTTGTAGACGTCATCGGTTTGCTGTCAGGTATTGGGGATGTTCATGAGCATGTTGTATCCGGTAGAAAAACAAAGATGGTTTTTTTAGAACTTGATGACATCAGGTATTTTTGTATGATTGATGTGAAATATATTTTTATTTCTTCCAAATTTTCTAAAAATAGGGGTCACAAGCTCGAACGTACTTTGTGGGAGCAACATGTGGATAAAGTGCAGTATTTCTTGGCAAAGAACGAGTCTCCTCAAAATGTTGCAATCGTCCAGCTTGCAAGGATTAAGGGTTTCAGGGGTCACAAGCTTGAGTCATTTTATGAGAACAATATGTGGATGAAGTGCGAACGTTTTTGGCAAACAAACAGTCTTCTCAGAACATCATAATAGTCCAGCTTGCGAGGATAAATGGTTTAAAAGTTTTTTTTTTAATATCTGTTAATTATTTTTAACTCTTTTATACTCTAATTGTCTCTCTGTATCTCCCACTTTTACGTGTTCTTGAAAATCGAAAAAACAAATACAAAATATATGACAAGGATTATCTTGGATTCAAATGTACCAGAGGTTGTAGTCTTCAAAAAAAGGCATCAAGCGAGATCAAAATCGAACTTGATATTTTGTTGTTTAGTATTACTTCTATTCAAGATTTTTTTTTTTCAATTTTCTTTTGTATCCTACACTATAATCCCCACTTCCAAGAATGTGACAATCTTATTTTAATTAATTTGACTTTTTGGTATGAACATCTCTTTTTTGTTATTTGAGTAAACACCTTTTTTGGTCCCTAGCAATATCTACGAAATACTTTTTAGTCCCTGGCAATAAAAAATGACCAAATTGGTCCCTAACAGTATGTAAAAAGGACCACGTTAGTGACGGAGGAGTTGACATAAGGACTAATGTGGCCCTTTTTTCATAATTTTAGGGACCAATTTGGTCCTTTTGTATTGCCAGGGACTAAAAAAGATTTCGTATATATTGCCAGGGACAAAAAATGGTGTTTACTCTTGTTATTTTATTCTCTATCAATTCTTCAACTATTCCCTATCAATGTCTATTAGGCTTAATTTTAAGAAACATAAATAATTTAGATTGTTGAAAAAAGCCACAAATCTTTGCAACAAATAATTACTTATTACTATTAATAACTCAACTAAAATGAATGACCATTCAGTAACTAATGACTATCCAACTTCTGCATCGTAAAAAGATATTTGTCATTAAGTATTTTACTGACTATTACTTGGAGAATGTGCGCAGCATTTTATGCATGTTTTCAACTACTTTCTGTATGAGAAATTGTTAAGCTTATTAAGAACATTTGTTATTATGTCTATTGGGAGAAAAAAATATTTTATATTTAAAATTTAAACTTTTTAAATTTGAATTTTTAACTTGATAGGTGGGAAAAGAGTTAACATTTAATGTTTTTCACTACTTTCTGCATGGAAAATAGTTAAGCATATTAATAATATTTAATTTTATGTCTATTGGTCTTAATCATTATACCTATTAAGATTAATTACAAAGCTAGAAAAAAGATATATAAAATAAATTTAAATTTAATATAAAATTATATATTAAATGAAAAATAATAATTAAAATTGTAAAAATATATGTATAGTTGATAAAAATAATTTAAACTTGAAATTTAACTAAAAAAATAAGAAATGATATTTTTATACTTTAACATAAATTAAATTAAAATCTTAACATAAAATAATGATACAAAAAGAGAAAACAAATCGTACAAGAAAGTTTTAAAAAAAATATTTAACATAAATATTTAAATATATATGTATAACCAATTTAAAAAACATATATAAATTATAAATTAAAAGAGAAAAAAATTCTATTTTAAAAAATATGTAAAAATAATACAAAAGAATATAAATTTTTAATTTTAAAATTTAAAATTTAAAATAAAAAATTACAAATTACAAATATCAATATGTAAAAAAATTGAAAAAAGTAATCACTATAAAAATGAAAATTTTAATTTAAAATATCATAAAGAGATTAAACTTTCATTTTTTTGATATAAGATTGTAATTAACACAATTTTCTATGTCGTGAATGAATTGCACAAACTTCTATGCATGTTTTCCACTACTTTCTGCATAGAAAATTATTAAACATATTAATAATATTTATTATTATGTCCATTGGGTGGGCAAATATTTAATATTTAATTTTTTTAATTTTAAATTTTGAACTTGACAGGTGGAAAAGATTCAGCATTTAATATTTTTCAAATGAGAAATTGTTAAGTATATGAAAAATATTTATTATTATGTCGGCTTAATTATTATTCATATTAGAATTAATTATAAAATTTGAGAAAAGATATATATAATAAATTTAATTTTAATATAAAACTATTGATTAAACGAAAAAAAGTTTGAAATTATAAAAATATATGCATAGTTGCTAAAAAAAATTTAAATTTGAAATTTAATTGAACAAATAAGAAATGAAATATAATACTTTAAAATAAAAAAATAAAAACTTAACTTAATAAAATAATACAAAAAGATTAAAAATTTCCCTACAAGTATTTTTAAAAAATATTTAATATAAACGCTTTAAATATATACGTAGAATCAATTTAAAAATTATATATGTATATATATATATATATATATATATATATATATATAAATTATAAATTATAAATTGAGAAAAAATTATTTTTTAAAAAATTTGTATAATTAATACAAAAGAATTTAAATTTTAAATTTTAAATTAAATAAAAAATAAAAAATTAAAAAATATCATTATGTAAAAAAATTTGAAAAAATTAATCAAAATTTTTATTTAATTTATTAGAAAGAGATTATACTTTCATTCTTTTAATGTAAGAGTGTAATTAACACAATTTTCTATGTCGTAAAAGAATAACTAGAAGCTATTACTTGGATAATGTGCACATACTTTTAGGTAGTGTTTGGTTGAAGGATTATTTTGGGATTGATGGAAAAGTGTAAGTGAATATTGGAGAATACCACGTTTGGTTCAGGTTTTTTCAAAAAAATACTAGGCAAATGGGATAGATGGGGAAATGACTTTTGTGTTGATTTTTGGATGAAATTCACTGTTACAGAATACCACTTGAGATGTGGTATTTTGAGATAACTGGGGAAGTGAAAAAACAGGTGCGAAGTTTCTCCCGAATATAGATTTTGCAAATTTAAATAAATTTTCCTGGTAATATTTCGGTCAACCAAACAATTTTTTTTACATTTTCTTACCAAACTCATTTTCCAACCATTTCCCTAGTAATTACATTTCCCTAGTATTCAAAATATTTCTCCTCAACCAAACACTCCTTAGGCATGTTTCCCACTACTTTCTGTATAAAAAATTGTTAAGACTATTAATAAATTTATTATTTCGTCTATTGGGAGGAAAAATATTTAGTATTTAAAATTTAAACTTTTTAAATTTGAATTTTGAACTTGATAATGGGAAAAGATTAATCATTTAATATTGCCCACTACTTTCTGCATGACAAAATTGTTAAGCATATTAATAATTATTATTATGTCTATTCAGCTTAATTATTATACCTATTAGGATTAATTATAAAACTCAAGAAAAGATATATATAATAAATTTAATTTTAATATAAAATGAAAAAATATTTAAAATTATAAAATTATATGTATAGTTGATAAATAATTTAAATTTTAAATTTAATTGAAAAAAATAAGAAACAACATATTTATTTTTAAAAGTATAATAAATTAAAAAATTAATTTAAAAAAATAATGCAAAAAGATAAAAAAAAATTCCGTACGAGTATTTTTAAGAAAATATTTAATATAAACGTTTTAAATATATATGTAGAACATATTTAAAAAAAAATATATCAATTATAAATTAAATTAAAAAAATATTTTTAATAAATTTGTATAATTAATACAAAGGAATTTAAAATTTAAACTTTAAATTTAAATTAAAAAGTATAAAATGACATCTATCGCTCTGTAAAAAATAAATTATAAAAATTTAATCTTTATAAAAATGTAAATTTTAATTTAATATATAAGAAAGTAATTAAACTTTTATTCTTTTGATGTAATCTTTATAACTGTTAGATTAACAGAAATCAACGGTGATTAGATTAGTTGTAAGGGTGATAAACATTTTTAGTGGTAAGTATATCCTTCCCTTATAATAATTAGATAATTTTTTCAAAAAACTAAAACCAAAATAAAGTAGCTTTAATATTTTCTAAAAAGTTTAAAAAATAATTTCTAATTTTTTAACTTCTAATCATTTGAAAAAACGAGTAATATTAAATGCTACTACATGCTTATACAAAATGCTGACAACAGGTGGCAAAATGGATGAGGCCCGGAGGGCCGGCCTACCCTGCTTGCCAAATAAGCGGGTTAGCCTGCCAACATGTTTTTTTTCTTATGTTCACTATCTAACTATAGAAAACATATATAGATAGTAATCTAGACGCAACTATAAGAATCTTTTTTTGTGGATAGATATAAAAATCTATTACATGCTTATATAAAATGCTGACAGTTAGAGATTGCAAAATGAGTTCGGCCCGGAGGGCCGGCCCACCTTGCCGGCAACACATTTTTTTCTTATGTTTACTGTCTAAATATAGAAAGTGTAGATAGATAGTAATCTAGACGCAATTATAAGAACCTTTTTTTTGTGTGGATAAATATAAAAACCTATTATATGCTTATATAAAATGTTGACAGTTAGAGGTGGCAAAATAGGCTCGGCCCTCCGGGCCGACCCACCTATGCTCACCAGCAGTTTTTTATATCTGTTATTATGTTTATTGTCAAACTATAGAAAACATAGATAAATAGTAATCTAGACTTGACTATAAGAATCTTTTTTGTGGATAGATATGAAAATCTATTACATGCTTATATAAAATGCTGACAATTAGAGGTGGAAAAATGGGCTCGGCCCGGAGGGCCGGTCCACCCCGCCCGCCAACACATTTTTTTCTTATGTTTACTGTCTAAATATAAAAAACGTAGATAGATAGTAATCTAGACGCAACTATAAGAACTTTTTTTGTGTGGATAGATATAACAACCTATTACATGCTTATATAAAATGCTGACAATTAGAGGTGACAAAGTAGGCTCGGCCCGAAGGGCGACCCACCCATGCTCTCCAGCAGTTTTTTATATCTATTATTATGTTTATTGTCAAACTATAGAAAACATAGATAGATAGTAATCTAGACTCAACTATAAGAATCTTTTTTGTGGATAGATATAAAAATCTATTACATGCTTATATAAAATGCTGACAGTTAGAGGTGACAAAATGGGCTCGGTCCGGAGGGCCGGCTCACCCCGCCCTCCAACATATTTTTTTTCCTTATGTTTATTGTCTAAATATAAAAAACATAGATAGATAGTAATCTAGACGCAACGATGGTGACAACAATTTCGTTCTTTTTCCCCTGGCATCGGGTAATTTACTAGATCTGTCTTCACCCATGGGCAATTATTTGTGGCACTATCGAGAGTAAAGAGCAAACAGAGATTGAAGATATTGATACTTGATGATAATGATTGTGTTACTATCGAGAATGAATTATTTCATTCTATTTCTTATGTATTTTAAAATATAAGTGTCTTATATTTAATTACCAGTATATAAATAATCCCAAATGTTTGACCAGTTTGTTTAATGCGACCTATAATTTATTTTTTTATTCATTGGTTTCTATATTCATTTAAAATCTCTATTCTCAAATAGTGTTCATCCCAAATAATTTTTTTTTTTTGGGTCTTTGTAGGGTGTTGGACGTGTCCTCTTTGGCCTAGGAAAGCAAGATAGGAAAAAAAAAATACAGCTAGAATTTTTTTTTCGCATTGACTGTTGTGCATTGTCCTGGATTCTTTCGCCTTTTTACTTCATTCAAGAATTTGGTAAGTTGTTATTTTCAAAGTTTTGCGTGAATGCAGTGGTTTTTTCAAGTTCAAAAGTACCACAAAATAGCACGATAATTCATTTCCATTTCAGAACAGGTATGATTTTTTTTTTTGTGTTTTTTGTTCCTTTATATTTATAGTTTTATGTTTATATCTCTAGCATATTAAAATTCAAAACTTCACGCTACGACGAAGGTGTTGATTTACCCGAGGTGATGATTAACCAACGACGACCGACAATAATTTCATTCTTTTTTCCTCGGGCATCGCACGGGTAATTAACTAGTAAAAATATATGTGACTTATATTTTTTTTCTCTTTACATAGCTTCACATGGGTTCTACAAATTTTTATGTGTGAGTAGGAAATATAATTATCTCCTACAATATAAAAAATATTATTCCCATAAATAATTTAGTTGAAATAATTTATAAACAAAAACAAAGTAACAAAATTAAAATTAAAATTAAAATTAAAATTAAAATGTAAATGTGTTAAATTGTTTTACCAAAAAAAAAAGTGATAAATTGAAAAAAAATTAGTCAAATCCCCAATATTTGTCCAAATTGTACAACTATTCTATTTAATTTAAAAACAATGAATAATTTTTATATTTGATAAGAAATGAATTCATCTTATTATTATAAGCAGCGAAACTCTACTGTTATTGTCTTACTACGTTCCATACCAGGACAAACCCAGCATTATTGTAATTAGGGTGACATGTCTTCTATAGAGGACACGTATTAAAATAAACAAGAGTCTCCTAACATGAACCTTTTCCACACTTGCTTTCACGCAAATTTTTATCCAATTCGCTTTATTGGCGGCTTTTACCGTTTTACCGTGGCCCCAAAAAATTGGTATATAAGAGAGTTAAGGCTGCAAAAGTGAACAAAAAATAAAAAGCAGAGCAACTCAACTCAAGTAAAAGAAAGAAAGAAAAAAAACAGAGTAAGCAAGTACACTAGCAGAGGTAGAGCCAGCCATCCAAAGTTGAACATGGATTCATCATCAATCTTCAACTCATCAAATTCCGATTTCTCTTCTGAATCTTCCTCCTTCGGTTCGCCGGAGCAGTTCTCGTGTAACTTCAACGAGAACGATTACCTTCCCTTCAACGAGAACGACCCTGAGGAGATGCTTCTCTATGGCATGATTGCAGACGCCAACACCACCACCACCACCACCACCACCCTCCAGCAACCCTTTAACACTGGCAAGAGTGTGAAGGAAGAGGAGGTTAGTTCTGAAGAAAACGGCGGCGCCATGAAGGAGGAGAAGTCGTACAGAGGCGTGAGGAAGAGGCCATGGGGGAAGTTTGCGGCTGAGATAAGGGATTCGACTAGGCATGGGATGAGGGTATGGTTGGGAACATTTGATAGTGCTGAAGCTGCAGCTTTGGCTTATGATCAAGCTGCTTTTTCCATGAGGGGTTCTTCTGCTATACTTAACTTCCCTGTTGAGATTGTAAGGGAATCGCTTAGGGAGATGAATTATGGTTCTGAAGATGGGTGTTCCCCTGTTGTTGCTTTGAAGAGAAAGCACTCCTTGAAGAGGAAAATTGGTGTCAAGAAGAATAAAGAAAAAGTTGTTAGTAATAAAAGGGTCGATGATGACAATGACAATGCTGTCGTGTTTGAAGATCTAGGTGCTGATTACTTGGAACAATTGTTGATCTCCTCTGATGAAATTCCTCGTTCTTGGTGAATTGAAAAACACAAAAATTTCAATCCACAGTTTTAGGCTAGCTTCTATATATTAGTGTTAATTCCCTTTGTTCTTTTGTTCTTGTATTTTATTTTATTTTTTTCACTTTTTTTTTAGGGCTAAAATAGCCTTTGTCATGTTTGAATGATCAAATTTGGAGATCATTTGAGTCTGTATCTTTTCTCTATTTTTTTTTCCTGCTTTAGGAGAATTATCTTTTTTTCTTCTTCTTTTTTCTGTAAAGCTTGAAAGATAAGAAATGCAGTAAGCTTTGTGGGGCTCAATTTATGTCCAAATTAATTGAGGTGACTATTGTTTTAGCTTTATCAGAGTACAAGTCAACATGCATGGTCGAGTTTTGCACGGCGAGAGGCACGCGTGGGCGCATACAAACAAAGGGTTTCTTAACCATTTAGGCAACCTTTTGTCTTGGAGTTATTAAAATTTCAAAGTTTTGGAAAACAGATTCTCATATAACAGTATATTAACAACAATATTATGCAGTATTTTACGGCATAGCAAGAAGAAGAAATAAGTGGTTTATTTAGATGAAAGATTAATTTTATTGGCATATTATCACAAGCTCTCCAAAGATTTCATTTTGTTGTGCAGGGGTGTAAACTCACATAACCATTTAATGTTTGATTGATGAAGAAAGATACGGTCCCATCAAGGCGACATTTATAATTTTTAACGTGGGCCTTGACATGGGATATGCTTCTTTTTTGTAAAAGAGAAAATGACAAACATTAGTTATCAAAACTTTTCTATCTGATTGTGTTCAAAACAAGTGGCAGGGCTACTTTGCCACCATGTTAGGCTAAGTTTGTCTTGTGACCACAACTGTATCTACGAAACGTAGACTTGGAGGAGCACGTTGATTGGTAAGCTAAGGATCGAAATAGCAAACTTTGCTTGTTCATTAGGGAATTAAAAATGATAAGACAAAAAAGATTAGCAGCATTATTTTATGAATAGAATATGATAAAAGGAAAACGGAAGGAAATAGCCTAAGTAAGTTGGTGGGATTTCTAGAATTTTATCAAATCTGTTGGGAGGAGAAAACCGCAAAATACTATTCTCTTCAACTGTTTTGAGTCCAACTTTGAAGCAAAAGAAGCTTCTACTGGTAGTTTTGGTCTAATTGAACTGGCTGGACACTTAGACCAACATCTGCAATCTTAGACTTATCTGAATTATTATCTTCACGTGTGTTTTCCTTGATTCGTTTATTCATTTTTTCTGTTTCTCCTACTAGTTCGTCAAATAGAAATTAACATTTTACTTGCTCAGAAAGTCACTCTTATTTGCTCATATTCAAATTAATTTAAACCTTTGGGATAGTCAGACTTTAAAAAATTAACTATTGACTGGGGAGGTTCTCTTTAACCCAGCCAGTTTAATTCTGTTCCAACACTGTTGGATTTATGTTATAGGCAGGTCTCTCAATATTATTTGTCCCATTCTCAAAATTTGACTATTAAGAAAATAAACTCCTTAATTTACGAGATTTTAATACCATATAATCTAATATCATAATTTCATATTTTTAATATTGGACTCAAACTCCTTATCTTACAATTAGACAGTAACGTAATTTCAATCTAATTAAGTAGTTCTACACTAACTACTTAGATGTAACCTGAAGTATTAACTAATTTTTTTTTTATATTATCAATCATAATTACTTCTTTGAGACGAATAAGTTCTGGATATTTTAATAAACTCTAACTTCTTTTTGAATCAGCTATGAGATTATTCCCGACTCAGAACTTAGTCAAGTATTAACTAATTTAAAGCATACCTAAATCCAATCAAAATTTACATTAACTATATAATTTTCAAGTCCCAAACTCAACCCGATTAATTCTCAAGTGAAACATATGGTTATTAAATTAACCTTAGTATTTAGCACCTCAACACCAATATTGAGTTGGCTCATTTTGAGTATTTAAAATTGTCAAACTTTTCATTTTATTATATTATTAATTATTTTAACATGTTTATGAATATTATAATGTAAGTTGGGTGACTATCAATTAAATTAGAGACAAGTTATATTTATAAACTTTTTGTTTACAAACTCTTATAAAGTACACTATCTTCTCCCGAAAGAACACTAGTTACACTATTTTTTCCCGAGAGAGAAGATAGTGTAATTTGTAAAAATTTGTACATAAAGTTGTAAACGGATCTTTCCTCATTAAATTATTATAATTTTATATTCATTTATATCTCATTTTTATATTTCAATTTTGAATTTTTATAATAATTGATTAATCAATTTGAGTTTGATTGAATTCACATGGCGTGATTCTTCCAAAAACTTTTTGATTTTCGGAATCGAAACAAAAATCTCTAATTAAGGGTTAACCAATGATTATCGTTCGTTGTTATAATTTCTTCTGATCCGGATTGACATAGTATTGGAGAAAGACAAAATTATTTAGCCTAACTCATTTTCCCTCTCATATGTAGTGAGCCAATCATAGTGAGCGACGTTAACTTTCACCTTTCAAATAACATTGTCTTTTTAACGCATTTATCATCTTAAGTATCTGTGGTTTGACAATTGAAATCTAAATCTGTTGGCCAGGAGGAAGCTTCCTGGATTTTGAGTTTCTAAAACCATACAAAGGGCCATGAATCGTATCTGTTTACAATTTTACTCAAAGTCACTGTGTTTGTCTCATCCCTTGTGTTGGGTTGATAATATCAATGGCTACAGGCATCAGCTATTACAACCCTCTACACTCCAGTCTCCACCCACCTGGCCACCTCCACCTCATAAAAATTCACCCAACAAAACATGCATAAACATAATAAAAGAACACTCAAGAGAATGGGTGGTCCCATAATCAGATATCTTGACTGGTAATTTTGCTTGAATTAATTATTGTTATTTGACTGGTAAACAGCTTTACAAAGAATGTTACACTATTTTTATTTGACCATTAGTATATTTATTCCTAATATATATGCAAATACAAACTACTTCATATTTAATAAATGGGATAGGATATTGTAACAACCAAATAATGTTACTACCAACGTTACTACCATATCTTAATCGTTGATTTTCGCCAATCAACGGTTATTATTTATTGCGAATTAATAATTAATTAATGAGTTTGATTTGAAAAATGATAACCGTTGATTGGCGGAAATCAACGGTTAAGATGTGGTAGTAACATTATTTGGTTGTCACAATATCCTATCCCTTAATAAATTATATTGATAAGTCGAAAGAAAAATAGCCAAAATTTTCTTATGTAACAGCTGTAATTTTGTTTTTCTTTTCTAATCGATTATTATTCGGGTGGTTTCAGTGGTTGCGTTAACGGAAAAATCACTGGCTAGCATCTAATTAATTGTCACGTGATTTCATGGCTATGCCCAAAAAATTTCAAGGTCAAGAGTTGATAATTGGTCAAGTCCCAGAAAGATGAGTCCAGTTTAGAAAGGCATTTGTTCAAAATAGGATTACCAGGGTTACTTTAGGTATTAACTTAGTTGGAAATCTATTATTTAATTTTGATTAGATATGGGTTCCACTCGTATTGTTAAGTGAACTTGGCCACCAATTCGAAAGGGAAACACAAATGGGCTAATTACTCTCATTAAAAATATTAAACGACTAATAAACATTTTCTTTCCTTTTTTCGTTCCCCCTTTTTTAATCAACCTTTTTTTGAATGGAGAAACAGGCATTAGGTGAAGTCAAGGAGCTATTAGACAATATATCAATTGTTAATTGCTTAAAGATAAATTACCGTTCAGATTTGACTTTTTTTATAATTACATGGCCTACTTGGTCCTAAGTCCTAACCTAACTTTGGGTTGATGACTAAAGATCAAGTTCAAATTTTGGGTCGAAACAATTTCGTGTTTAGTTTTTGGGTCAAATATGAAAGTCCAACTACTCGTCAATTTAGGGTTTTATTTTATTTTAAAAAAAATCTTTTTATTCTTCTTGAATTTTATTTCTTTAAAATATTTTGAAGAAAATAAAACATAATAATAATGTATTAGTTGAACAAAATGTCCTTATATATATATATATATATATATATATATATATAGGCAATAATTTTCTCCATCCACATGTGAGAAGATGTTTTTCCTACAGATACATCAAGTTGTTGTCAAATTTATTTTTATTTTTTATTTTATTTTTAAAAATGATGGTCCCACCATTTTGTTTCAGTAGAAGATAAGTTTTTAATTTCTATAAAATAAGAAAAGTTTATCCCTATATATACATGTGTGTATGTATATATGAGTTCGCTTCTTCTACAATCAATATAGATATGTTATCTACATTGAGCTGAAAATGACATCGTTTTGGAATGAAAATCAATGTATTTTTGTAATTATAATTTATTTCAGAGTTATAATAGTCTTTCTCATTATAATTTTTTAATTTTTCAAATCAAAACGACGCGTTTTGGAAGTGAATGTAGATAACTTATCTATATTCACTATAGAAATATTAAAGCTTATATATATAGGAGTTTACATTTCTGCAGTAGCTGTACGTGATATTAGATTTTAATGTCAAATTTCAAAGTTTGACATCGGTGTCAAAGAATCTTGTCCCATATATATATATATATATATATATATATATATATATATATATATATTACATGAGGTAGGATCCTTTGACACCAGTGTCAAATTTGAAATTTGACACTTCATCTGAGAGCCATTAGATCAAAAAAGATCAATGGCTCTAATTTGTAAGCATGTGACATCGTTGATTTTTTTTTATCAAAAAAAATCCCTGCATTTAATGCTTTCAAATATGTATATGGCAAGTATTTGATTGCTGCACGTACAACAGCCGCAGAAATGTAAACTCATATATATATATATATATATATATATATATATATATATATATATATATATATATGGAAAAGTATTTCTATAGCCACTTTAGATAAGGTTACCTACAGCTACCTATTTTTAACTAAGTATGACCGGTCATATTTAGTTATAACAATAAAGCTGTACTTTTTTTCTCTTTTCTCAGACACTGTCGGCTGACGTGGCGGAGAGAGAAAATGCAATTTTAAAGTATGACCGGTCACACTTAATAAAAAAAGGG